CAGATCACTTACGCGAAATAAGTAGGGGTCAGTGAACCCGACATTAAGTTGGCAAACCCTCCGTGATACCAAAGCCTACTGATGCTGGACAGTCTCTGGGAAATAGGAGTCTGTCTCGTTCAATGGTTCCACCTGTGACCCGGCAAGAACAAGTTTGCCAAGTCTGATAGTAATCGAGGGTGAGGGGGTGAGCGTCCTGGAATTGTTACTTCCTGGCCTATCAATTTTACAAAATTTCAGGGAATTTTTTAAATGTCTATACTCAATTTGAAGGGCCAAGCCCATCAGTTGCCTTAGAAGTCTCTATATAGTCAAAAGAACAATTTAGCTAGTAAAGGAGAAGGCTGGTCAAGCACCAGAACAGTTTGTTTATTATCATGAGCTTTCAAGCTCGCACAGGAGTTCATCTCCAGAAAAAACGGCAGCAACAAAACAGGCGACAATCATAGGGGATGCAAAACATTCACCTCTAGAGATATGTCACTGACAGTTAATTGGCTTACACCCCTATAATTGTCCCTTTTTTGTCGCTGTTGCTATCCCTGACCATGAAATCTTGTACGAGTTTGAAAGCCCAGAACAATAAACAAACTGCTCCATTGCTCGACCAGCCTTCTTTATTCGTGCAAGCACCTGGAACACGAAAGTTCGCATTTATTCGTGAGAAATTTTAGTGATTTATCAGAAGCACACCACATTATAAATGTATCCCTAACCTGAACATTTTCGTAGAACCATGACTGAGAACTGAAAAATAAACATATGCTCATCCTTTTCGTGCCATTCGATTCGGAGTGCTTGCAATGTCAATTCTCGCATATCCTTAATGAAGGCAGTATCCAAGTCTACTTGTCCCACGCACATTTTGTTCCTAAACTAGCCATTAAAGGGGCTCTCGGATCTCCTGTCTGATCGAGTTGCCCAAAAGGGTTCGCTTAAGGGTCGAATTATTCTGTCAGCTGGCAACTTTTCAAGTCGTTTTTAACACTAGATCGTTCCTAAGCAACTCTCAGTACGTAGCAGAGTAGCTGACCGAATTTAAGGTCGAACACAATGCCTGTTGTGTGTGAGGCTTCGGTCTAACATTTCATGCTTGCCTATGAGACCCCCAGCCACTTCTAAAGTGCCGGTTTCATGCTGTGTACCAGTTAATTTCCCCAACCCGGACAGTCTAATTTATGCAGCCCTATAATAGATTTCCTTTTTCATCCAACGTAATCCGAAATTATTACACATCTTGTCGATTAGAAAAGATAATTTATTATGTCTTATCATATTGAAAATCATACTGCATAATTGTAAGATATTTTCATCAGTGAGGATTCGGCTTTTTGAATAAGCTTCCTTTTCGGCCATCTGCGAAAAGGCAGTGCAGCAAAATAATTATTTAGCGCGCATTTTGTCATTGCTCTTCGATGCTCTTATAAATTCAAACATATTGTATGACAAGTTCACAAAAATATTGGTCCTTGTACTCTTATGGTCATGCTACTTGTACATTCAAAAATATAGTCCATTTTATTGAAAATTTTTGGGATTCCTATGCGACCTCATGTTAATAGTTTATATACATCGAAAATATACAGATTTTAGTTTAAAGATCCCGAATTCAGGTGTAATAGCAAGCCGGGCTCAAAATTATTCAGAAATTTAGAACAAGTACCCTTTCGTAAAACATGACATTTAGGGAAGACGTCATTTTCTAACAGATGAGTGCGAGAAAGCGTATTATTGTTTCTTTTCTATAAAATATATTCAAATTTATAGAGGCACTGACATTTCCTGATAAAAAAAACGTACACGCTACTTAAGCAGTCATTTTTACAGAAGGTAATTTTAAAGGCGGCCATAAAGAAGCTTGTTTAAGAGCCGGAATCCTAACATGACTAAAATATCGTACGATTATGTCGTAGGAACTTAGAACTTCCTGTAAGTAATCTTCGTTAGTTGGGAACACATTTTAGACTTGATGTCAATATTTCGTGAGACGGAAAATCTAGTATATTTATTGATATTTCGAGTTTAGTTTTTGTCCTTTTGCGGTCCAACTATACTGTATTTTCCAATGTCATACGCGGGCTTGAACTAAGAGACGTAACACAAACAAACAATTTAAATATGCTAAGATTGTTTGTTGGACCCTCTGTAGAACGAAGTGGCACATTTTCTGCTTATAGTTATTCTAAATACCATTAAGCAGTTCCGCACTTACCAAACGCAAACAGTCCTAAGCACCTTCTCCTACTGACTGTATCTCTAGCGTTGCATAGTTTTGCTGACCTGCCTAACTGTTCTGTTGCAGGGCTTCTCCCCACTCCTCTGGGCCTGCGCAAACGGACAGAAAGCAGCTGTCGAACTGCTTCTCTTCCACGGTGCTAACCCCTTGCTCACTGGCGACAACGGTGAGAATGGCCTCCTGCTGGCCAGCTGTCGAGGTCACTTTGACGTGGTACTCTAC